GTCGACCGTGGGGGTCGCCCGCCGAAGTCTCTGGAGCTTTTTTCTGTTGTTTTTGTTGCTCGCGGTCGACCGCGAGTTTTCCACGGTCGACCGCCGAACTATCCGTTGGATTCTAACGGCTAGTTCCAGCTCAGTTTTTCTGTGGGCTTTTTGATCTTTTGTTTAGGGTTTTTATTGAAGTTTTGAGATGGTATAAATACCCCCATTGTCTTCAGCTCTCTATACAACAATAATGAGAGTGTTTTAAACAAGTTTAAGAAAGTTTTAAACAAGGGTTTAAGTGTGTTTTTAGTGTTTGTTTGGTTTAAATATTGTTTTCACAAGTGGAGGAGATCATCTTCTTGTTTGGGCTTCAATCTCCATCTATCCATCTTGTTATTCAGAGAAGAATCTCTAAACTCATTTCTAGCTATTTATTATTTTGTTTATAATTTCTATATGCTAGATTTTAATTGAGTTTAGTTTTGATTTTGATTTCACTCATTGTTTACACACACTCACTTGAGCTTATTGTATTTGTATTCATAATATATTAGGGTTGTGAGAGTTGTAACATTGAGTGTGGGCTTTTATTGTGTTCTCATCCATATTAGAGAACAATTTATATTTGTTACATTGTGAGATTGTTAGGTTTTCGGTGAGCTAGAAACCGAGTGTGTTGTGAAGTTTTTGGTGAACTAGAAAACCGAGTGTGAGGAGTGAACGTTGTTCGGTGAGCGTTGAAAACCGACACTGTGAGGTGTAAACGTTATTCGGGTGAAACCGACACTGTGAGGTATAAACGTTATTCTGGTGAGCGTAGAAAACCCGGTTGTGATAGTGGATTTCTCCCCGGGAGTGGGGAGCGGAGACGTAGGACGGAAGGTCCGAACTCCGTGATCATTTGATTGTGTTTGAGTGTGCTTTGGCGTATTTATTTTTGCATTCATCTTATATCGCCATTTGTGCATTGCTCATTTATTTCATCCACTATCTTGTTTAGATTGTTTACCCCTTGTGTTAGTTTATATATCCTTGCATTATATATTTTTATCATATAAGATATATATCTTGTTGTTTATATTGCTTATCCTAGCTAATATATATTGTTGTATTTCATACTTGCTAGGATAACTTGTTAATTAATTTTAATTGGCATTTAATCGGATTAGATTAGCATAAGATCCTAATCACCCCCCCTCTAGGGTCTAACAATATGTTTAGTTGTTACGGTTCTGAGTCAGTTGTTAACTTGAGCTGGAGGGTCGGATCTAGGTGTCTCGCGAGCTGGAGGGTCGGATCTGGGTGTCCCGTGTTTTTCAATCTTTTTGGCCGCCGTTTTAGACTTTGGCCTCCACACTTGGTACAGTCTTTGTGGCTTCTTTTCCACTTCTTCATTCTGCAATTTCTTAGCCTCTTGCACAAGAATTCATACGTGTGCAAGCAATGCGCGGCGTTTCTGGATCCACTCTTGAAGAGTCGATCGGGTCCTTTTGACGCGGATCCATTCGTTCTTCGTTGGTTTGAAGGAGGAGGGGTTGTCCATTCGCTGTTGTGGCGGTTGGCGCCTCCTGGACTTCAGATACGCTTCATAGCGGATTCCATCAACGGGCTCCAAGGCTTTGGCCAGCTGGCGTGCGAGGCATTGGCGTCGCCTCTGACGCGCTCTCTTCGATAGAGTAGACACGTGATCAGCAGTCAACTCCTTGTTTAAGGGGTTCAAATCTGCGATTTCAGCCTCGTTGGATGCCAGCATGGCGTCGTGAGCCACAAGTGCAGCAGTGGCGGGAAGATCTTTTTCTTGGGCTTCTAAAGCTGAAGTCTAACGAGTTTTCTTGGAGTAGGCCTTCCTGCACCTGCGAGGAGAGGCCGATCTGGAGGAGGAGGACAAGTATTCCTCGTACTTCTGCTGGTCGAACTCATATTCGACCTCTGTTTCAACCGGGATAAGGATCCGAGGTTGCGACACGTCAGCCTTCACAGAAAAGCTGTCGGCTTCCACTGTGGTCGCTACTTTGTTTTCGTTAAAAGCCGCCTTCATCGTTGATTCCATTAAAATCAATAGTTTACAAATGAATTCAAATAACAAAAATAAAAATTACAACTCTCTTGAAAATAAACAAAAGAATCATTTATCGGCTCTTGCTTGCGTGAGTTCTTCGCCGGTGCCGGGGTTTATCCGTGGATGACCGCGGATCGGATCCGGTTGTCGAAAAATTAACGGAGCTCCTACCTCACCAAGGAAGTATTTGCTTGAAGCGCTAAAATCGGCCAAGCAAAATCAGTAGCTCTTCTCGAGATTAAGACTAAGCCTAATCTTAAGGAACGGACGTACGGGGCTTCGGATCCTTCGAAAGACTTCTCCTTTGTGCTGAAGTTCGCCGGGATCTCGTTGACCTTTGCTGAAATTTCGTGCTCCTTAACTCTGCAATCCAGCAGCACCTCGTCCTCTTGATAAAATTCCAGATCTGCAAAATGGAGTCCTTGGGCTGATATTTATAGGCCTCGGGTGTGGTTAATTGGATGAGAATGAGTGATTTGGTCTTATCTTCAATTAACAACAAACTAACCATATTTGTGGATGATATCAAGTCGGTTGGGAACCCCTGGAACAGATAAATCCTGCGAAAACCATTTTAAAACCGTCGAAAACGCGTCCGGAGGTCGAAACAGCGCGACAGACCCTGTTGACTCGCGGGGGCGTGGGTCGGCCAGATCCGACCCGCGCTGGTGCGGGTCCGTCGCCTCCGTCGAATTCTTCTCTTTTGGCACTTTTCCCAAATTTGTTCTTTTCGCTATTTCATGTATTTGGTCGACTCGTTGGTTTGTACGCTTCGTTACGGGACTGACCGTCGAACGCGTCGACTATTTAGGGCTGCACGCGTTGGTCGATATGCACGCGTTGATTGATGCGCGTGAACTGATTGACGTACGCGTGTTGACCGACGCACACGAACTGATTGACGCGCGCGTGTTGAGCGACGCGCACGAACTGATTGACGCACGTGTGTTAACCGACGTGCGTGAGCTGATCGAGCGCACGTGTTGACCGACGCGCACGAGCTGATAGACACGCGCGTGTTGACCGACGCGCACGAGCTGATCGACGCGCGCGTGTTGACCAACGCGCACGAACTGATTGGGTAAACCTTCTTGAATCGTCCACTCTTGGCTTCGAGTTTCATGCAGGCTTTCATAGGCAATTTTAGACTCCTACAGGGCTTGCCTTGGGCAGCTTCCCAGGGCAAGAATTGCATCTTGTGTGGAGGGATCATTCAAAGGTAAACACTTGTGACGACGTTTTTAACCTCTTACGAGCAACTGAGCTAAGTTGCTTAAGCAAAATGAAAAGAAATTAATTAGTATTTCAGAACCAGCACTGTACATTATAAAAAAACTTAATTCGGCTCGTGTTGACTCTTCCTGTTTCGACTGTAAGCACGAAAAGAGCATTTTCAGCAATGAAACTCATAAAAACATCATTGCGCAACAAGATGGGAGATGAATTGCTTGCTAATAACATGATGCTTTATATTGAAAAAGAAATTACTTCCAAGCTCGACATAGAAAAAATGATAGAGGGGTTTGATTCACGATATATTTGTAGACCACCTTTATTTTTCGCTCAGGGTAAAAAAAATTTCTGGCTACGCCACTGTGTGCGTGTAAAAGAGAAGAGGCTAGAGCAAAGGATGAACCAAAAGAAGTATAATTATGAGACGTCTTTTATTTCCTGAACACCCGCATTCTACACGTACGTCCCTTCCAAAACCCTCCGAAACCATCCTTGGTATAATACACCGCGGAACTGACTAACAAAACTATATAAACACGTCCAATCCGCCCCCAAAATTAAAAACCAAATCCCAATTGAACAGCTAAACACAACTCAGACAACAATAATAAAAACCGCAATCGAACAAAAAATGTCTTGGCTGGCAAAATCTTTGGCAAACTCACTAATCGCCGATCAACACTCCACCGACGGCGGAAACGCCGTCTCCTCCACCGCCGCAACCCTAACCGTCAATTCTGGGCGTCGCCTGGCGTTCCTCCGGCTCCTTCTCTCCTCCGCCTCCGATTGCATCCGATCTCCCCCGGCGCTCGGATTCGGCGGTCTCCAACGAGGCTGCGGAATCGCCTAGGATCGCGGGGATCCGAAGCGATTTCTCTGAGATTGGGGGGAAATTCAGGAGTGGGATATCGAGCTTCTCGAGTAATTTGAATCCTTTTGGAGGAGGAGGAGGAGAAGAAGAAGAAGAGGAAGAGGAAGAGGAAGAGGAAGAGGAAAAGGAAGAGGAAGAGGAGGTGGAGGAAGTGAGTGTGGTTGGCGTTACTGAGGAAGTAATGGCGTTTGTGAGGAACATTGGGATGCATCCGGAGACTTGGCTTGATTTCCCTTTGTTCGACGAGTTTGAAGATACCCATGGTTTGCTTTCTTCCTTTCCTCCCATCATTTATTACTAGTGTTTAATTTAAAGAATGCAAAACATCGACCAATTTGGTCTGTTATGTACTTTACCCGCTAACAATTTGGTAGAAAGTGTTTGCTTCAGTTGCCTTTCAAAAAGGTCTTGAACTTCTTGACATTTGCATATATTATAAAACAGAAAGCAGCAAGACAACTTGCATCTTGTAAAGATAGCTTTTATTTATACAATCAATTTCCTTGTGGGCGGTTAATGTGTCAAGGGACATGTTGGGTTGGAGGAAAGTGAGATGAATTTGGTACATAGTGGATTGAACTTCAAATAACTTGAAGCTTGTATTTATGGCTATATTAAGTCAACTATTTTTTTTTCACCTCATAAGCATCCTCCTAATGTTCGTTCATAAGAGATACCCCCTTCGATTGCTGCCAAATTGCATTATGTCAACCTTGTTTGATACTATGGAAATATTGAGATTTTTTTCTTGTGGTAAGTAAATTGTTGTAAATCAAACTATGAGCATGTCAACTTTTAGTAATGATAATGACAAGTGCGGAATCAAAGAAGTTAGTTTAGTCATTTATGGTTTACTTCACTTCAATCTTTGTGCATCATCGTTGACTGAATTTTTACATGGAAAATTTTTAATTTATTATTCCTATTGAGCCAAAAGTCTCATTTTCATCATATAATAGCTTACGCTCGTACAAATCATTTTAACTTTCTTCCATGAGGCGTCTGTATCCATTTCTCAGAAGAGTGTTGGGAAACTTGTGGACAAATGTTGGTGTTCTAGTGTGCTCACTCTCTGTGTCACATAGTCTTTCTTTCCTATAGTCCTCTAAATTCCTTGCATATTTCCTCTTGACGTGGTATTATACTCCATTAAATATTAGTTTGGCATGCTGACTTCATTTGGTGGAATTGCTGGTCAATTTTTCACACGATTTATGATCGCATGCTAACATCTATGTAAGAACATTATATGAATCAAGTTTTTTAACTAGTATATTGAATGGGAGAAAACTGAATGACTTCAGTATGTTCTTCACATCTTCTTCTATTTATATTCTTACAAGTGATGTTCTGCATTCAGATTTTGAAATGTCTGATGCTCAACAGGAGCATGCCTTGGCTGTTGAAAGTCTTGACCGAAGATTAGCAGCTCTAAAGATTGAGCTTTGCCCAAACCATATGACCGAAGGGTGCTTCTGGAAAATCTATTTCATATTGCTGCATTCTAGACTTAATAAACATGATGCTGAACTTTTATTGACACCTCAGGTAAGTTGCGGCTTTCAGCAATTTATTTGTTATCTTCCTGCACAATACAATAGAAACTCTATCTGTTTGTGTAGGAGCATGAGTAAATATACTGCCATGCCTTCTCTTATCATGTACTCTCATGTAGAATACTTGAAATACAGAATTCTGAATAGCTATGGGTTGGTTGCGGAACGGGAGTGTTCCATTTGTGCAGCTTTAGCTTTCCATCACTAAGCACTCACCTTAAAAAAATGGACACTAATAAGGAAGTAAAAAAATAAAAATAAAATAGAAGTATAAAAAAGATCTAAGGTTTTAAATATCGGATATTGGGGAAATATCCGATATTGGGGAAATATCGGATTGCCAAAATTCATATCGGATTGTGGATATTGGGGATATATCAGAGATATGTGGTAAATATCAGAATGTCATAATAGATATTTTCATATGTAGTATAATGCACTAAAATGTAATCTCAACATACTTAAGGAAATCTAAGCATGAAAAATGTAAATAATATATGTCTAGGATCAGTAATCAGCCTTCTAAAGTAAACAAAAGTACAAATCAACGTTGCAACATTTCGTCTGATTTTTTTAGGCCAAAATTTCATTTGATATAATGGTAAAATCATGATATCTCGCTAAAAAATTGCCAAACGCGATATATTGTTCCGCGACAAGCCATATAAAAGGATATATCGGCTAATATATTGGCTGATATATCGGTCATATCGAGGATATATCATCCAAAATACCCAAAATACAGTAAATGATATTTAAAGGCTATGTTGGTTGCAACAAGCCCTGTAAAAGGATATATTGGGGGATACATCGGGCAATGTCGGGGATAATTAAAACAATGAAAACACCATCAATAAAATTGTGGCTCTGATTTAGGTATTGGAATATTAGCTCTATTAGGTTAAGACGAAAGCTAAGTAACATGCAAGATAATTGACTTGATTAGGTCAGTAGTTGGTACCTTGTTTTCGGGATTCAATGTGCTTGATTAAGAGTAACATTTACTGTTGTAGGTATCATCTTTGTGAAATTCTGCATCAGAGCATTCAGGGGAAAGACGGTTAAAAAAAACTTCAGTTGAAACTTGACAAATATTGTTGAAAGCTCACACACAAAATTGTTAAGGAGATGAGTCTGCTTAGAGATGGCAAGAGAAAAAAATGATAAAGAAATACCGAGTGGAAACTTGATGAGCATTAAAAAGTCTTCATGCCCAAGAGGAGCTGTGCTGGTGGTAGCACAGAAGGGATTAAGTGAATACCCCCAAGATGATACCCGCAAGATGAATTGAGATATCCAGACGTCTGATACATAGAGTTTGACCTAGAAAAGAGGAATAAACATATATTTTTGAGAATGCATGTTCCTATCTATTATTCTGACTTGAACATAATTCATTCATAAGGTATATATTTCGTGAACATGAGACATGTTTGGTGATGATTTATTCTTTCTGATGGATAAATGCGTGTAGTCGCTATGTTGACAAGATTGGTCCAAGACGTTTTATAGTAGATTTAATGTGGTTAGCAAATGTGGTTTACAAATTCATTTCATGGAAGTAGATTTCTACTCTAATTTTTGTTTACGATCATGCGTAAATGAACTTAGAAAATCCATATGTGAAAATAATCATTCTTGTTATATGTTTTTTGACCAAGGGGTTTAGTTGTGATTATAATTATTTTCCTCTTTAGTTATATACCACCTCTGAGACTTGAAAAGTATTGGTTTTCTTAAAGTTGCTAACAAAGTATATCATTGAAGGTTGCCCCTAATGCCAAATGCCCATGGGAAACTGGTGGACAATGAGCATTGCCCCTAGAAATAGATACATTATTTTAGAGGAAATGATCCTTGCAAGCAGTGTGTGTATGAAATCCATGTAACCAACTATCTAAGTTTCTAAGAACGTCTTTGTTTTTTAATTGATGTTGTTGCAATGGAACCAATGCCATACCTATCAGTGAACATTGATCTCCTAACTTTGGTGAATATACATTAATGATCTGAATTGTGAATCCATCCTTTGGTGAATATACATTAATGATCAAAATTGTGAATCCATCCTAGGGAAGGGAGTTGGTGTGTAAATAAATGTCAAAATAATGATCATACAAAAATCATTGAATGATTTTATTTTGAGTTGTTTTGAGCTTGTTACAGGAATATCTGTATAGGGGTGTTTGAGATGTGTTTTTCCAGTTTTGATGAGGGCATTACATTATCAGTTGTTGTTAGCAAGAATTTGAGGTGGTATTAGTCTGCATGAAGTCTATACAAAATTGCTTATTTGTTAATGAATGAAAAACCAACCTTTCTTACCCAAAAAAAAGTTCATTAAATATTAAACTTTAATTGTTTACTGTTAAACCCTAATCTACGAGTTAAACAAAGTACCAGTGAAGATAGAATTACACAAGCACTCTCATCTCAAGATGTAAATATTACAACTGCACTACAATAGCGATTTGTTGAAAGAGTTAACCTCTGATCCAGTGAAAGTTTTTAATAACCAGAGATTAAATTGGAGTGTCAGCTATTCATCAGCAACAAGGTTGAGAAGTTGCTGCCAAATATCCAAACAAATCACATGTGCAGAGTTTATTCCAACTACAGTCAATTAAATCCAAACCTGAATTTGAAATTCCAACTTCGTGGTCCATCTTCATTCTTCAATATTATATATTGGCAAACCTAGCCTGATTTGCAGCCTAGGTATGGTATTATGTTGTTTGCTTCAGCTGTTGTCGTTGCTTGGTGGTCTATAGATCTTGTGAATGATATTTCTGTATATGGGCTTTCAGTAGCACAGATTTTGGAGTTTTTGTAATTCATGGAGTTACTGGCTGTATTGTACATACTCATATACTGAGTTTCCTGTAATAAATATAACTTTTTGCTTGTAAGCATGTAGCTCTTCTGTGGAACATCATATAAACAACCCAATACTTTGGGACGTTTAGATTGACAGCAATTTATCTGTATTATTATGTCCACTCATAGATTCTGACGCATAACAAACTTTAACAGCTTGCAAGTTGCGAGTGAGTTATTTTCTCAACAAAAAGCATGAACCTCTTTTTTCCTTCTTTTTTTGCAGATTGCTGAAGCAAGGGCAATGTTGTTCCAAATGCTGCAGGGAAAAACAAAAGCAGATTATGAGCCGTCCAGTCGAAGTCTACCCTATAGAAATATAGATACATCTTCAGTTTCAGCTGGAGAACAGGTTGCATCACCATCTGAGATTAATCCAACTAAACTGTATCCATTAGAGGGTCCAATATCTGAGGATGAGATCATTGGTAAGCCTGTTATTAAAGAAGATCTAGCCACTGAATCCATGCATAAGGATCTAGCATGTAACTTCTCAGAGATCTCCATTCATGACTATGATGACAATGATGATGATGAATGGTTGAATGATGAGTCAGGTGATATCTCGGGTACTACATTTATGCCCTTTGGAAATGAGGAAGATGTATCCTTTAGTGACCTTGAAGATGAGGATGAGCCAAGAGCATCATCTAGTTCAAAAACAGCTACGTATGAGGTAAACACCTCAGCTTCAAGTGCCTTTTCAAGCAACAGATCTGATCGATAATGAACTCTTCTTTGTTATATTTGTGCAATATGATCTGGTATTTATTATAGTCTGAGCAATGTTTTCATTTTTGTGGCATAGATGTTCTGTATCATTCTGTGAATGTATGTTTTTTTTTTTCCTTTTTTTATTTGGTAGGCTATTTAAATTGGACTGAGTAAAATTCTTCGAAAGTATTTATACCTTCTCTATTTCTATATTTGTGTTAGCACGCTCACGGGTTTAGGTTTCCTTTGTGATATTATTATGCTCACTTAACTATAAGATGATGATACCACCGAAGGGTATCACTCATCTTTCGATATAAGCGAGTAGGTTCATATCTCTACAAAAGCTTGGTTCTTTAGAGATAATTAGGTTAGACATTTGTACAGCCTGCTCAAACACTGCACGAAGAGAGAACAATTTTTCCTGACCTAATGGATCCAGAATCGCTGGAAAACCCCAGAAAAGGCTGTCCAGAGATAACCTCAGCCTCGCTTCCTCAAATTCATCCTGTTCGTCGTGCTGCTAATGCTTCTTCATGTAACTGGTTCTGTCGGAACTACTACTGCTAGTAGTATAGAAGTATGCTATAAAAGGTCCTTTATTGAGAATTGTACAAGGGGAAGGAGATCATGACAAATGTCCAATATAGATTTTAAAAGTTAAAAAAAAATTCCTCAAGGACCCAAAATATGGGACCAATAGGGGGGACAAGTGAGGTGTCCCCCTCCTATTGGATAATGAGTTGGCCATCATTAATAATGGCCAACTCATTATCCAATAAAAGGGGGACACCTCACTTGTCTCCTCTGTTGGTCCCATATTTTGGGTCCCTGTAGCAAAGCTCGCACTGACATGATATTTTGACTATCCAATAGCGTAAATTGATAGCATTTATTTGAAATTTGGTAGTGTGATGTGTGATGCAGACTATTTCCTGTATGACTTCCTACAGACGTCCCTCTCAGATTTTTTGTACCCCTTCCAGAGGGGCAAAATAATAATTCCCTCTCCAAATGTTTTCCTCTTGAGTGACGTAGTAGTAGTAGTAATAATAGTAGTAGTAGTAGTAATAATAATAATAATAATAATGAATAATAACTATAGGGAGTATCTTCTATAAAAAAATCACAAAGGTACAATTTGTGTGATATTTGTCACTGTCAACATTAATTAGAGCAATCAATATACGATAATGCAATTAGTAAATATCAATGCAAACCATCAAAATATTAATATAATTAAAATATAAAAAAAAATTCAAGGACCCAAATATGGGACCAATAGGGGGACAAGTGAGGTATCCCTCTTATTGGTCCTATATTTTGGGTCCCCGTAGCAAAGCTCTTAAAATATTGTATCAAAACAATAGCCAACAAAATGTTAGTATAATTAAAATATTGTATCAAAACAATAGCCAACTTTCAAATATGTGGCAAAATAGGTGTTGTATGCTCCTTCGTTCTTGTGTGAGTTTTCATACGGATAGTTTCCAGACCCTCTATGTTTGGAGGAGCATCACATCGGTTTTAGGGTCACTTTCCAATGGTCAGTTTGAATTGGAATAAACAAGTCACTGCCCTTGTGAACCTAATGCATTTCCCCAACCTCCTCAACCTCATTGATGAGGGTTTTGTTGAAGAAAAAGAAGATGGTATCGAATGAGGGGAATCTGAAACAAAACTTTATAATGCAAATAATAATAATCTTAAAGAACTTTAAGGATCAGTTTGGTATTGCTGAAATTTATAATAAGTTACTTATAGAAGCAGCTTATAAAAACAACTAATATGAACTGCTGGAAATAGTTATTTGATAATCAAATATAAAAAACTACTTAAAAAGCAATCAAGGTGTCTAGTTGAACTGTGTGTAGTGATCACTGTTAAAAGATAAAAGATATATATACTATATAAACTAAAAAAATTATAAGCTACTTTTAAAAGCATCAGGTTGCTTCTAAAAGCTCCCCTTTCTGTTGTGTTGACCCCTCCCCCATCTCATTTCTCTCTTGTCTAAACCTCACGATGCTCGACCGTTTATACCCTACACTGCCGCCGACTCCATCTCTGACGGCGACCCGCTGATTCCACTTCCGGCATCCGCCTAGACCCCACTAATTTCACCCTCAGTTTATATAATCTTGAGCTCACTATCCTAACTTGCACAACTGATCTTCATAGTCTTCATCAACAAAACTTGCTTACACGATTTCATATTAATAATCGAAAATTTTGCGGTAATTAAAACTATCCTGTGACGTTTCTCTCAACATGGAGGGATTGAGAAACATCCCTGTGAGAACCCATTCAAGTTTGGGATGTTTAACAGTTGGAGCTTTTCATTAAAAAAAAGTTCAAAAAGAATCATAATACATTAATCTCTGCACATATAAAGATACTATCAAACACAAAGTATTAATTATTAAAAAGTATGTGCAGGGAAAAACTATAGCAAATGTGAAAAGTAGTCAACGAGGATCATAATACACCCTTTCGTCCTTTGACGAATATTTTTTCTCCCTCCC